TCTAACAATATACATCATATTTTATTTTACTCATCATCATATTTTATTTTACTCATATACACATCATCCAAAGATCGACATTATATTCTAAACTTAGATACTAATATCTAAGAGTCACTACACTATATATTCTCTAACTACCAGGATCGTTTTGGCTTTGTTATCCATAAAATAGATATGTTGATAACACTACTTGTTTTGATGTACTTTTCTCGCAATCTTAAGACAAATCATCATTATTCCCCCGTTGACTCCTGACCTAATAATATCTTAGTTTACTTGACCAAGGTTACTAGTGGAATTTGGGAACTCATTTCCTCATTTGGGAAATTTTGCTTAAGCCAAAATTTCTGTCTTAAGCAAAAATTTGGTTGCAACAATTCTCCCTTCTTTTAATTGAGTGAAAGTAATCTTGCTTGAGTAAAAATTAAGTCGGCTTAACTTTTGCTTGAGCGAAAAATCTTCGTTTGAGAAAATCATCACTGTCTTAGGCCACCTTTTTCACCATGTTGCCCTCACTCAAGCAACACAAATATCACTTCAGCGAAAATGGAGCCAAGAAGGTTTTTCCAATTTCAAACATTTTTTCATCCCAATACTTAATAATACAACTCATTATACCACAATTATGTAATAGGAACATCATATAATACCAAAAACATACATTTCTACTTTTATTACAACACATCATAACATATATATTTTCTATCTATGCATGTTATTATTATTTAAATAACTAACTTCATTTACCTTCCTAGTAAAAGAACTTATTATATTGAAATAGTTGTGTTGAATAAAATTGGGGTTTTGAATTTTGAATTGTTGTTTTTTAACTTTTGTGATGTCTCTTATATGTTAAACAAAAAAACCTCTACAACTTTTCCATAAGTAAATTAAAAACTTAATACAATGTTTCCATAAATATTATTATACAATTGGTTCATACTAATGTAATAAAACTTGTCTATAATTGTTTGTTAAAGTAAAAGCATAAGTTGGTGAGCACATGAATACAACATAACAACCACTCAACTAGATAAAAACAATTAAAGTACATAACTACCAAAGCAAATAGTCCAAAATTGGCAGCACTTGCCCATGTCTCGACCAAAATACCATAGCCTAAAAATTTTCACATTTTCTTCTTAATGACTTTGGTTAAACTAGCTTAGGACCCTAAATTTGGGTTACACTAAGGTTATAACTCCCTCCCTCCCTTTTTGTTGGTGTGTTTGGATTGAGCATCTTTAGAGGTGGTATTCTTCCCAATGTTGATTGAGCAAATCTGAATGTGGTTTGCTATATCACTCTAGAGGTGAAACCCTACTCCTATTTGTCCTACTTATGGTTTTTGTTGTTTTAGAATTCTCATTTCCCTACATATATAATGAGTATCAATATAATAGATTTATTTAAGTTAATATAATAGATTGCACTAGATTGTATACAAGTTAACTTTTTAGTCTTTTTGGTACCATGAACATATGTATTTGTGTAAGTTTGAAAGAGGATAAAAGGGATATGTCGCAGTTTCAACACTTTCAAAAGAGTTCCCCTAAAACAGTAATAATGCAGTACAATGGGAACCAGAATATCAATCCGTGGAAGTAATAAGAGTATATGATTGAGTTATGAATGATTCAATGGGGAACTAAACTAAAAATGAAATTTACAATCTTAGACTAAATTAAAATGAGGTAAAATCCTAATATGCGAGTGAATGAAAATACTGCAGAATGCAAAAATGGCTAAAAATATGGAAAATCACAAATCGACCCAAAATCACAAATCCGACCATGATGAACAGTAACCAAGGTCGAGTATCGTAAATCGACCGACGTGAACGGTAATAACGATCAGGAATCACGGTCGAATTTTGTGCTCTCGGTCAACATACAAAAACTAATGAGTTGTCTCGGTCAAAAATGGAAATTAGTGAACAAAATATATGATTGACCTATAAGAATGTAGACGAAATGAAAACAAATTCGAGATGAATGAAGCTAAACAAAATTCATAAATTTGACCATAATGAATAGTAACCATGGTTAGAAACCACAGATCGAAATGTGAACTCTCGGTCGAATGAAATGTAAAAACAATTTCTCGATCAAGAATCAAATGCAAGGTGTAAAATATATGACTGACCGAGTGAAATGTAACTATTTTTGAGTTTTGAGTTTTTAAAATGGAAAATGACCGTAGTGAACGATGCTGGTGGTCGGAAAAGTGGTCGAGAAAATCAACAAAATAAAAGGTCTCGGTCAAAATGAATATATGAAGAAATGACTCGGTCAAGAATCAAATGAAGTGTATAAAATGTATGGTTGACCGATGTAAATGCAAATATTTTTGTATTTTGAGTTTTAAAAATGTGAGATGACCGTGTGAGATTGTTTTGGTGCGTGTGGTTGAAAACCTGACCGAGTGACGAGTGGTCACTTCGGTCAAAATGTTCAAAACAGTGGTAAATGTGTGATGTGAATGATGGAATGAGTGAAGTAATGTATATTTATGAGTTTTTCAGTATTCAAGGGGAATTTGTAGTGCAGAAAATTAAAATGAGAACCTAGCTACACTTAAACTATTCTAATCTTATGCTAATCTATGACAGAACCTAAAACAATGCAGTAAAATCTATCTAAACCTAAAACTAAGCTTCTACAAAGATTAAAGCAAGTAAACAAAGCAATAAAACCTAGCTACCGTGACTGTAAAGCAATTAAAACATCAAAACAGTAAAGTAAAAGCAGTAAAATGCAGAAAATTAAAGAAAGCAAGAACAAGAACTGTGGAGCAGATTCGGTGTAAGCAAAATTGCAAAACTACTGCGTTTTTGACATTGTGAAAACCTAATTAATCAATCAAGCATTCACCATACAGTTCAACAAAGTGATTGCAAGCTTCAATCCTCAACCGAGAGACATCCACAAGCTAAAGCAAGTCAAGAACACAAGTCTTAAACAAGTTGTCACATGCAATTCAGTTCCAGCAGATTTTGTTCGGTAAAAACCTAATCTAATTCATGAATTCAGTAAAGAAAAACAATTAAAGATGATAGAAGAAGGAAATCCAGATCCAATTCGTGAAGAACAATGAAGAAGAATGAACACATACATGGAAGATTGAGATGCAAGCAAGGAGAAAGAGCCATGGTGCAGTGGAGAGAACAATTGAGAGAATTCTGATCGATTTGATTGAATCTGAACTTGAAAACTTCGACTATCTGTTATTACATTAAGTTAATTTACTATATACTTCAACTAATGTACAATTACAACTTACAAGGCCCATAACCGGACCTAATCCAATAAGATGTTGAAAAGTCGCACTGTCTTCGTTTCAGTGCAGTACCGCGCAATTCGAATGCTTGCAGTTTTCTCAATTATTCTTCAAATGAAACGATTCTGGTCTCATTAGAAAGCTTGTTAAGTTATCTTTCAAACGCCACCGTTTTCACTAATTTTGGCGGTCTATCGAATTTATGATAATTATTTTACTGAGGCATGCCCGGTGGACCGACTCTGTGCGCGTAACCTCCCTTAAATAATTTATATAAAATTCAATTTAGCTCCGAATTGAGTGTTTCTTGATCCGCTGGAAAGATGAGTTTGTCTAGCTTTCAATGCTTCAAGAATCATGATTTTATGATCTCTGTAGAAAAAATAATAAATAAAACAGTAAACTAATATCAGTACCCGTATACAATAAAATACAGCTAATTTATTGTTTTTATGCAGAAATTTATATTACGGCTTCTAAAGGCCTAGTAATACAAATTATAGTTAATTAAGCTTCATTAACATATTATAAACAATAATATAACATTATAAGCTACTTAAGATGTGCTGAAAATCAGTCACATCAAAGTTCTAGAATTGTGGCCAAATTGATGATAGAGATTGCACCTCATGGTCACAATTTTTCTACTAAGCTTTAAATGACTAACCAATTCATCATATTCTCTTCTCCTCAATTTTCTAGGTCTTCTTGGAGGTGTCTTACATATTAGAGGTAGAATTTCTTATGCATTTGTTCTTGGCCACAATTGTTGTCCATTAATGAGAGAAATTTGATATCTATAACAATTTTCATATGCAAGCCTTTTAAATATCTATGAACATAATCTTGAGGTTGATCTAACTTATAATTAATTGTAACAACAACATGTTTACAAGGTATAACCATTAAGTCCCAAAAATAACATGTACAAGTATGCTTCTTAAGGTCAACTACAATTTTTTTTTTCATGTTAAACTTATGAGTAACTTCAAACTTGTCATTTCTAGATCACACAAGTAACCAATTTCCACTTTTCTCAACCTCTCTATCTAGCCTTTTCATTGGCTTTGACATTACATTGCTAGGATATTTTAATAATTTCTCCATCAAAGTTGCAAATCTACTTATTAAGTATGTCCTAATCCATTCCATTATTGTGATTATAGGTTTATCTTTAGCTAACAATATAGTGTTACAAATAACTCTACCATATTTATGCTCATCAACAAGTGTTTTAACTCTAAATGCATGAGTGACCAACCTTGCTAACCAACATCACAAATCCACACCTTTTACTGCAAACAACTCCCAATCTAACATGATCATTTTTCACAAATTCAAATTGTCTCCCATTCAACACATAATGTTCCCTAATAGCATGTTTGAAGTCCTTCAAAGAAGAAAATTTCATTCCCAACTTTAATTTAAAGCTTTTTCACATGTCTTTAAATCTAAACTTTGAAAATTTCTCCAATCCATCATCATCCACATCCACATAACTAAAAAATTCTTCATTACTGTAATCTTCATTTATTTAATGATTGTGAATAATATGTGTTTTTTCAATACCCTCACTAGTTTGTTCTCTCATGGTTGTTTCCCTTTCTATATCAAATTTTGTCATCTTTTTAGTACATCATTGACATTTCTATGTGAGTTATCCTTCACTCCAAAATCATCATTCGAATATACATTTTTTTCTTCTTCACCGTCACCAATTAGATATCATCCACTTCATTATCCTCTAGTCCAGCTTCATCAACTTCCACATCATCCATCACCCTCAACAACATCCATTATTGTCTCACCCTCAACACCATCCTCAAAACTAGTTATAACAATTTCGCCCTCGACACTATCCATCATAGTCTAACCCTAAACACTGCCCTCAAAACCATCCATAATAGTTTCACCCTTCACATTATCCATTATAGTCTGGCCATCAACGCCATTCATGACAACTTCACCACCCTACATTATAGCCTTCCACCAACCTTCATCCTAGCTTCACCATCAACCTCATAACCCTCATTTCCAACTTTAACACCCTTAGTTTCTAATTTCACCACCCTTTTCAATTTTACCAATATCAACACCCACCTATTACCAGTATCAACTCCCTTCATTCTTCCCTAAGGTATTGTTTCAAGAAACTCAATTATCCTAGCTTCACTAATAATGTTGTACATATATTTCTACTTCATCTATAATACTTAACACATAGTTAGCTAATTCTATAACAACCTTATCTAGACACAATGGTTTCAAATGTCTGTCCATCCTTCCTTTTTTAGGTTTCCACCACATCTTCAACTCACTATCATACTTGAATTCCTTAATTATACCCAATGCTTCAAAATATGACCATCTAGTAAGATTCAAACCATAAATAACATGTTTCCCCCTCCTTTGTAATGCAGTTTCAGGGAAGTTATAAACTTCCTCATATGACTCATAAAACATTTGACTCATATAACTACAATAAAACATTTTAATAACAAATATTGCATTTGAACAATAAGCCTAACTCACATGAACAAAACCTAAATTTATTATGATGATGACATTGTTAATAAAATGTCATTAAAATCAAAGAAATACATATCTTACACACTAACAGTGACTCCCCAAGCAAAATCCCTATCGCCGCCGTAAAAAGTGGTCAGAGCGACGTAATGGTTTTGTGACTCGCGTTTATTTTGTAAAAAGAATGGTCATTTCTCTTAGGGTGTTCGATAACCGAACTACCCTTAAGAGCGAGGTTTTTGTAAATGGGTGTAGGAGTTGCCACCGATAATTTTACCATAAACATCGAAAAAGGAAAAAAAAGAAGGCGTTGGTTTAAGAAAAACCAACTTTGGCCATTATAACTAGAGTTAGGTAAGGGAGTTAGTTACGTGTTGGGAAGGTGTTAGCACCCCACAATGCCCATTTCGGGTTCCCTATGATGGAATAATCTTAAAACAAAGACTTAGGAATTATGCTTCTACCTAATTTATTCATTGTGGTATTTAAATAGCTATCTACATGACCCTAATATCTAATGCACACAAAGGAAAGTAGTAAATGAAAGCTATAAAAGAGAGAATAGAGAAAAAAACCTTCGAAGTGAGCTCTTATAAATACTTGAAACTTGAGGATGCTTTTTACTGATCCCCTCGCTCTACAATAATGCTCCTCTCTCCAAAGAAAAAGAAAACTTTAACTCTCTTGAGTGTCTAAAAGATCACTCAGACTCCGGAATAATGCTCAGAGTCACCTAGAGGTTTTAGAATACCTTCTAGGTAGAGAGAAAGGTGTGTGAATGTGTGAAAATGTGAAAAATGAGACCCTATTTATAGGGGAAATGCGCCAGGAGGACTAGACAACTGTCTGGTCCATATGAACGGTCGTCCATGGCTCAGAATGGGCATGGACGGTTGTCCATGGCTTAAAATAAGCATGGACGACCGTCTGGTTAGCATGGACGGTCGTTCATGGCTTAAAATAAGCATGGACGACCGTCCACTGCCTTTTAACGAAATCTCTAATTTTTTATTTTCTCCGAAAACCCTCCTTATCCTAAATGGAACCTAGAAAATGCCACTAGGGTCCTATTGAAGCCTTGACCATCTTTGAAATGGAGGATTTTTGAACCTATTGCGAGGTCGGGCAAGATTTGGGGTCTATGCTACCCCCCTTCACCTGACTGACCGGTTGTTGGCTAATGTACCAAGAGACCGGTTGGCAGGTGAAGGAGTTAACCCTCTTGCCCATTTGTCCTTCGGATGCTCCTTTGGTGCAGTAGCTGACCCTCTGGACGATGAATGTGAAGCTCCAGGATGCTCCTTCGATGTGGTAGCTGACCCTGTAGCTGACAAGTGGGCAACCTCAGGATGCTCCTTTGATGCGGTAGCTGACCCCTTGGTTGATGAGTACGAAGACTCTGTCTTTCGGATGCCCCTTTTGCTGTAGAGGCTGACCCTTCAGACGATGAGTGTATATAGACTTTTTGTCTTCAGGATGCTCCCATGTTGTGGAAGCTGACCCTTCAGACGGTAAAGGTAGATTGTGTCTTCAGGATACTCTTTTGTTGTAGAGCTGATCCTTCGGACGATGTATGTAAATCCTGTCTTCAGGATACTCCTTTGCTGCGGAGCTGATCCTTCAGACGATGGATATGAAGATATTGTCTTCAGGATGCTCCTTTGCTTTGGAGCTGATCCTTCGGACGATGTATGTAAATCCTGTCTTTAGGATACTCCTTTGTTACAGAGCTGATCCTTCGGACAATGGATATGAAGATATTGTCTTCAGGATGCTCCTTTGCTACAGAGCTAATCCTTCGGACGATGTATGTAAATCTTGTCTTCAGGATACTCCTTTGCAGCGGAGCTGATCCTTCGGACTATGGATATGAAGAAATTGTCTTCAGGATGCTCCTTTGCTATAGAGCTGATCCTTTGATTGTTCTCAGGATGCTTCTTCGATGAGATAGATGATCCTTTGACTAATAAGTACGGAGCTCTATTTTCTGAATGCCCCTTTTGCTATGGTGGCTGACCCTTCGGACAAAGAATGTGGTGGCGACTTACTGATGCTAATCATGCGCCGACTCCCTAGGGAGTAATTTTTGCTTGAAATTGTTTTTTGACTTTTCTGGTGTAGTCATCCGGTATGCTAGGGATTCTTCTTTTTGGCTTTTTCCATTAGCCATCCAACTTTGTTGGTTGTTGGGGATTCTAATGAATGATAGTCATCCAGCTTTGATGGTCACTGGGAATTCTTGATTTTGAGTTTTTTCCATAGTCATCCATCTTGTTGATTGCTAGGGATTCTTTGGATTTTTGCAATAATCATCCAGTTTTGTTGGTTGCTGGGGATTCTTGATTTTCTTGGGTTTTTCCAATAATCATCCAGCTTGTTGATTGTTGGGGATTCTTTGTTTTTGGTTTTGGATTTTTTTTTCAATGGTTGTCCAGCTTGTTGATTGCTGGGGATTCTTTTGGGATTTTCCGTAGCCACCCGACTTTGTTGGTTTCCGGGGATTTTTGATGGATGCCCCTTAGGTAGGTAGGAACCCACTAGGGATTTGTTGATTCTGATGATGCCTTTGAGTAGGCAGATGCTTCACTTGAAGGTGAAGACTTTTGGTTATATTTATTTGCCTCTGAGTAGGCTAAAGTTCCACTTGGGGATGCTGTCTCTTTGATCGCCAGGTCTTGCCTATGCGCAGGCAAGCGACTCTCTGAGGATGTGAATTTGGAGATTGCCTTTGCAGTAGGCTCAGTAGGAATAGGTTTTTTCTTTTTAGTGATCCACCGGGGAATTATTTTTTTCCCTAGGGATCTGATTTTTTATTACCCTCTAGGGGGAATGAAATTTATGATTCCTTGATTGATGCTGGTAGGTGATCGATGTCGTACTCGATCAAATAATTAAAATAGATAAATATAGTACTAGGAAGTGATCGGAGCCGTATCCGGTCAAATAAATGTAGATTAAATGTAGTACTAGGCAACTCTTCCTAGGTCGTCTCCCAAGGACCATAAATTTCTGTCAAAAGCTTATCAGTTTCAAAATGGAACAGAAACAAGGGGGATTTTTGGTATTTATCAGATTAATGAAATAAAACAACAATAGCTTGTATAAATGCGGATTAAAATAGATTAGGCCCTTAACAGAATGCATCTCTGATGTCATTGGTTCATAATATAAAATATATCTAGCTTACTCCCTCCTTACACAAATTAAGCAAACGTGTAAGTGATTGATTCTCCCCACAAGATTAAGCAACTCATGGTACTGGATACAATGAACCCAAATTCATTAAGCATGATTTATGTTTTATGATCCAGTGCAGAACAAAGAACTAAACTGGACATTAAGTTAAGTGCAGAGAACCTCTCAACAGAGATCGCAATCCTTCAAGGACCTTACCCTCTAGGTTTAGCTATCCATTAATTCAGAAATGCAGCAGAAAACATAAAAACAAAATCCAGTGCAGATAAGAAGAAGAAGAACAAAACGTAAAATACCAAATGATGGATGTTTTCGTGAATCTAATCCCAAGAGAGAACAAAAAGAATATCAGAAATTATGGTGGTTGTCCATTAAAATGAAATTACAATAAAAATACAAGATGGAACAACATAATAGCAAAATGGATTGCAGCAGAAATTGAAATACAAGATTGGGCTGAACTGAACTACATAAATGAAATTTGCAATAGAAGTTAAAGAATACAAACTTTCATGGCAGCAGAAAACGAAATTGAACCATATTAATCCATCAATGAGCCTTGAGTAGTCCAAATTAAAATGCAGAGAAAACCAACATGAAACCAAACGTAAACAGAACTATAGTGCCCCCCTTGGTTCCCTCCTCCTACTGCTCCTCTAAAAATATAAGCCTACCCTAACCCTAGAGTCCCCTAGGAATGGGCCCAAGCTGGCCCACACGGGATTACACATCAAACAAACCCTAGCTGACGTGGCAGCCATTAATATGATGTGGAAATAACAGCTGACATGGCAGGTGATGTGGCAGTGACATGGCAGGTGACGCGACATCTGATGTATAATGGTTCCTTCCCCATCATGGATTTGACAAGTATAATGAAAGTCACACCATATGCCTTAGCACACTTGTCCCTTCCTTGTGGAAGGTTACAAACGCACTTGAGTTTCTTTTGCCTTTGTCTTAAAGATATCTAGTGCCCCTAAAAATGAATGTGTTCATGCATGAGAGATTCATTAGGATTATACATATGTATACTTTCCTTATGCATTTATTTTCTCTCTTAGTTTTACCACTTATGCAATGATGAAGGTATGAATGTTTTGACTTTGTCAAAATCGTTGTATTATGTTTTGTTTTTACTATTTTTTTGTTATTTTTTGTGACCCTTTATCTCTTCTGTTAGTCAACGTGGCTACTTAGCATACAAAGAACCTGAAACCAGGCTAGCTTAAATGAAGACTATCCGAGAAAAAGTTGTTTTTTGTATAGCAAAAAGGTTTTTATTTGTTTTTATGACCCCTTACCTCTTTTGTAGGTCAACATGGCTACTTAGCTTTCAAAAAACCTGAAACCAGACTAGCTTAAATGAAGACTATCTGAGATAAGGTTGTTTATTTAAAAAAAA